TGCAAAAAACGCATCTTCGCACGGGCAGCCCGTGCGTTGGCCATTTATTTTTTTATCTCATGCAATTTTAGTCGTTGTTACATGTTTTTTTTTTCTTCATTTACATGTCAATAGTTAGGATTGCCCCAAATATACGCGATAGGGCTGGGATTTGAATGTTTTTTTTTTGAGTTGATTTTTGAGTTTGCTTTTTCGTGGTGAGATTGGAGTTTAAGTGTGCTTGCTCGTGGTGAGCTGAAGGATTTGAGTATGCGAATCTCGAGTTTGTTTGTCGGCGATGAGATCAGGACTGGGATGCATTTTCCGCGATGAGATCAGGATTTGATTGTGCGGTAAATTCTTGTCGTGGTAAGGCTCTCGCCCATATGAATGAGCCACTGCAGTTCCATTTCTGAGAATCGTTGCTGAATATCGCCTGAGAGTGGTCATTTGATGGTCACTAGCTACTGCTAGGAAGGGGGAGGGGGGGGGCAGCTTTGCTGCTTCAAAGGTATCGACGGGCGTTGCCCATGTATCCTAGGCCATTGGCTATCAGTTTCCGTCGCTTTCCTGTCCACTTCTTATCCCCCAGGGACACGCCAATGGACCCACTCATTGCAGTAGAAACAGCAGCAGCAAGGCACTGCACACAGCTGAACAACGACAACGACAACTACTACTGTGGTGTGGCACTGAGGTACAACGATGTGCGGCTGCTGTGAGGCGCCGTTGAGGAGGGCCAGGCAATGCTGATGAGGCTACGACCCGGACCACTGCTCGGCGTGCTTCTGCTCATTGCTCTTCCGTTCGTTTGGATTCTGCTCAATGGCCAGAGAACAGCTCCAAGCATACAGGAATGCCGGCTGTTGGTGCCGATCACGGTAAATTTTTTGCTTTGGCTTCTCTCGTTCTGCTCCAGAATGCACTGCTGTAGCAGATACTCGCGAAAATTAGGCAAAAATCGAAAAATTTGCGTTTTTTCGTATTTTTCTAAATTTTTATAGGGTATCCTCTCTCTTTCTTGGGTTTCGGGTTTATTACTAATTTAAGCCGGCAAAAAATCGAAAAATTTGCGTTTTTTCCTAATTTTTCTAAGTTTTTATTGGGTTCATTGTTAATTTATTGTCAGTTTAAGCCGACAAAAATCGAAAAATTTGCGTTTTCTTCATATTTTTCTAAATTTTTATTGGGTATTTCTCTCTCTTGAGTTTCGGGTTTATTGTTAATTTAAGCCGGCAAAAATCGAAAAATTTGCGTTTTTTCTTATTTTTCTAACTTTTCTTTAGTATCTAAATCTCTCGAACTTTTGGTCTACTGTTAATTTTAACTTAACGACTTAACATTTTATCTTAACAATTTAATATCTTATGGTATAACTCGAATTTTTATAAAAAAAGATTTTATAAATTCAAGATTTTATAAATTCAAGACTTTTATAAAAAATTCAAGATTTTTTATAAAAGATTTTATAAATACAAATTTTATAAGTTGCAAATTGTATGTCATAATGTTTGTAAAATTTCGCAAGTTTTCAAAATTTTATAAATTTCAATTTTATAATTTTAAAAGTTTTAAAATTTTGACTTTTAAACTTTTATAAACTTGTGTCATAAATTCTGTGCTGGTGAAATCTTGTTGCACTTGTGAGTATTCAAAATATCCCAAGTTAGTATAATTGTGTTTTTTGCAGGTAGACGAAATCGAAGGTGACAAAGGTTCACCGCTGGAAAAAATATCCTGTACTGTTGATAATGTGAAAACGTATCGATGCTATCAGGATGAAGCTACGGATGAGGTGTATTTCCCGTTCAATGCTTTTCTTAAGAAACGTTTTGATGTCTCAGGGAAGCTGATCAAAGGTTAGCATTTTGAAGTTACATTATTTCCACTTTTTTTAAGTTTTTTTAGACTTATTTTTTACTTTTTTGCCGGTTTTTGAAGCTACTTTTTCCGTACCAACCTCGATAGTGTGAAATTTGAGTCCGTTTAGAATTTTATTAAAATTGTGGGAGATTTCATGTTCGAGGTTAGTCGAATCTTTTAGACTAAGAATTTTTTTTTAAAACGCGAAATTTTTCAGGACCAAATACACTGCTAAATCATTTCGAATGGTCGACATCGCATGCCAGAGTTCGTTTGCCAAATTTCACCGCCTACGACTATCGTGGAGTGTTTGGCCATTTTGCGTCGTACAGTGTGGAAACCAGGGATCGTGTACGTTGCATTAGTGCTCAATATGGTTTGTTTTTGTTGAAATGAGTAGTTTTTTGTTTTGCTGAATAAACTTCCATTTACTTGTACCTGTTACTTATTTCTTTCTTGTTCAGCAATAAAAATCAAGCACAATTTTATAGAATACGTCTGCTACATTGAATAAGGAAATGAATGCTAAATTTAATGTAATTTTTTTTAAGAGTAGAAGTTAGAAAACCGGTTAGAAATAGAAAGGTATGTTAAAGTAGGAAAGGAAATGAAAGGGGAATGATATTAAGAAATTAGTAAAAGCAATAATAATTATTTTAATAAAATTATTATAATAATACTGCAATAAAATTATAATTATTATAATAATCACAATGATAAAACCGACGGTGTATGGGAGGGGAAAAGTCAGTTCAAGTACCACATATCTTTAGGTAGGGGAAAAGTTTTTTGCAATTATACTTCGTCATTTTAGGATTGCCAATGTCTACGCAGTGGTCGCCCGTTCCGTATTTTTATCCGATCCAAATTGCACAGTATGCGTTACAACACTACAGCCGTTTTAAAACAGGTGAATCTTTTTTCAGAATTATACCAAAAAAGAGAGTTTGGGTTGTTTCGGTTCATTAAAGTTGTTCTCTGTCGTTAACGGAGCCCCTTTTCAAAAATGATTTCGAACCGGTAGAGGATCGAACCACCCTCCGCATCCTGACACGTCATGTTGTCCACTAGACCATTGGCATTTATGCCCGAGGATCAGCCTGGTATCACACCTACTGTGTATCTGCCTTTCAAGACAATAAAACTTCTTCTGGGTGCCTGCCATAAGCAGCGTACATTTTTCTCTGTGGTAGCTTTTTCCTTAAACGCTTTTCGCGAATTTGCCATGACAATAACGTTCTAAGTACCGTAACTACGGTTATTGACGGAAAGTTTGCAAATTGTATAAGTTTCCCTATAAAATATTTCCTGTGGTGTTAATTTTCAGCAACCACTGCAACTTTTTTTCTGATAAATTTTTAGTCAGTGTATATAATCCAAGTATTCTTTGTGTAGTTTGAGTTTTTTCAGTTTTACCAGCAATATCTTTGACGAAAGGAGCAACGTTGAAAGAGTGGAAAGACGCTGCTGGAGGGCACGATGGCATAAAACTGCTGCACGATGAGGAAACTAATGCAACATACACCAAAATTAACGCAGCTGGTTTATTTTTTAGAATTCAAATCCATTTTTTGCGTTCAAAGCTGGTGGGGCATGAAGCGGTAGTAAGTAGCGTTGTTTTCGTGGTGTAATTTAGGGGTTTAGTTCATTCATTTGGAATTTTTGTCCCGATTTATGATTTATTCATTCGTTTCGATGGTAAGTTGGTGCTGGCATATGCGCAGGAATAAAAATCTCGCCATCAGCTTGCTTCCAAGTAATAATAAAAACAGGAAGCCATCGGCACTTTTGCCATACTGTTAGTTGCCGACAAATTTTTTAGTGATTATTTCTTCAGACCGCGGCGTCTCGATGAAATTGAACAGAAATCCGGCGTTTGTGGTGCTTTCGTTTTACTGGATGGCTGATGTCGATGGATCGTTTGATATTAGCGTGAAACTCGTTCAAGTAACTCATTTTTTGCACAGTCAGATTTTACATATATGAATCTTCATATCGGAAGAGAGGTACGAGAAATAGAGAGTTGGTCACTTCACGTTTTATCGATACACTGATACCGGCTGCCTAACGTAGCAAAGAGGGTCTTTCAGCTTTTTAGAAGTACCAGAAAAATGACCGTGCTAGCCTTGCCAGCTTTTGGCTGCTACTGATAAAATGGGGTCACTTCCGAAAATATTTCCATTTTTTATAGAGAGTAATATAGAAACAGAATGATTTTGATATAAGTTAAAGTAGAAGTGCAGACTTATGTTTCACATACAAATTTTGCCTCTTAATTTTTGTACATTTTATTTCTCATTTTCGAAATTTTACATACCACATGCATATAAGAATGTGAACTAAATGAGACACTCAGGGGGGGGGGGGGGGGGGGGAAGGGGGAGGGGGGGGGGGGGG